CATATGATTATTGTTATTGTATCATGACAGCTCTTCATATTTTGAAATCAAATTTTGCACTAAAACTCGATAATTGTTTTTTTTCTTTTTGAAATCAACTTTTGGAATGGTATGATGCTTTTTTCTGGAATGTCTTTGTTTCTGAAATCATATTATTGTTGTTTAGTAGTGTGATAACTCTTCATGTATCTGATTTTGAGTAAAGTTGAGCAAGATTGTAACATCCCAAAAATCCAGGTAATTTTTCATTTTGTAAAGGAATCCAAAAACCATAGGTGTTTACAAAACATAATTTCCAAATGTCATAACCATGAATCAAGGTATCCCAAAATCAAAATCGCATAAAAATCCAGAAGATGTGCATGATCAATCCTTCGCCATGCCCCTATCCTCTGAAGTACTTGAAACCATAACGTTAGAGCTGTAAGCCAAAACTTAGTGAGTTCCCCCAAAGTACCATACACAACCAAACAGATAACAACACGCATATATGAGCCTTCATCCTGACTAGACCGCCTCGTAGGGTCTAAAGCCTATCTGGACCGCTTTCTGGGCCTTCGGCCTGATTGGACCGCCTCCCAGACCTTCAATCTCTCCGGACCACCCCTGGTATCTTGGCCTTCAGCATAAAGCAGGACTTCCTCTACCCCAGAAAACCATAACATGATTACATATACAATAACAATCAATAACTAGAAAACGTAGGAAATCATATGGACCTACCAGTCTAACAGATATCCAGTGAACACAGGTAATCAAACAGATCTAGTAGTCTATCATATAACCAACATAACATCATCCATTATACCAGGATACATAATCCATTGGGCCGTCATTGGTGCCTTCAACTTACAAGTACAGTGAGGAAAACTCACCTCAATGTCAGAAAAATAGCAGAACTGAATGTTGCTCCAACTACCGGCTCTACGGGTGACCTTTAGAAAACCCATGGACTAGGCCTCAATCTACCACTCAAGATATCCTAAATGACCTAAAGTCAAACATGGTCAAAGTGAGCGGTCAACAGTTAAAGTCAAAAGTCACTCTAGCTAGTCGTGACGTTGTGGCCATCCTTGGCCACGTCGTGGCCACTAAATAACAAAATAGGCGAGTATTAGCCTAGCTGCCACTCTGTGGAGACCTAGGGCACATCATAGGCACTAGGTTCCTAACAACTTAATTGGTTAAGCCATCTTTCTTCGATTATAAGGGCTCCAAAGCTCAGATCTGGTCCATACTATGGTATAAGTGGATAACCTTTCCAACTTTATCACTTTAGACTCTCCAAGAGGTAAGGGTTTCACTCCTAGATCCAAAAACAAGGCAAAACACAACTTGGAATAATTCATTAAGCACTCAATATTGAAGACTTCTAGTTCAACATTCCAGAAATGATTCTAGAATCATAAAACAACATAAAAACCCTACTTTCCAGACATACATGTCCAATGCATTTCTTGTGCTCTTATTAGGTCAAAATGAGGGTTTTTTATACCAAAAATCAATGCATGATACAAAGACTCACTACGAATCCAGATCCGAAGCATCAAACAATCTAAATGGCCCGGAGATTCATAACAGTTGCAAACTTTAAGATCTCACCACTCTAACAATCAAGAACGTGAATATTTACAGAAAAACTCAAAATGTAGCAACCTATCATGATAAAAATCGAGTCTTACATACTTACAAGGGTCTAGAAGAATGCTACCACATAGGAGGAGGTCTTGCTTGCTGGATCTTAGGTCACCTATTTTTCTTTCTTCCTTTAATGGATTCAAAGAACACCAAAACAAGGCTTAAACAATGAGGAGGAGATTAGGGTTTTCTCATATCTCAAAGACGCTGATGGAGCCTGAGGGTGAGCAAACGCTAGCCTCCTCATTCCTTTAAATAGGGACAAAAACCCAGAAATAGGGTTTTGTCATTTGTTAACTGCCACGTCATGGCCATAAACTACCACGCCGTGGAGACTTAAAATAACAGGTCATTCTTCTTGATTTGCCACGTCGTGGTGCCTCCCCCGCGTTGTGGAAAACATAAAAATGCCAAAAACTAGAATTTAAATTACCTCGGGATCTAGGTGTTACAATCCTCCTCCACTTGAATCAAACTTCGTCCTCAAAGTCCGATGCAGGGAATAATTCGGGGTAGTGCTCCCGTATCTCTACCTCAGGTTTACAAGTCCATTCGGAGCCCTTCTGATGTCGGCACTGAACCTTGACCAGTGGAACCACCTTGTTGCGCAAGACCTTTGTCTTCCTATCCAAAATCTCGACTTAACTATCAACATAATTCAGATGATCATTTAACTGATATTATCCAAAGGAACAACTGTTGAATGATTAACCACACACTTCCAAAGGTAAGAAACATGGAATGTGTTGTGAATCTGGTTGAGCTCGTCAGGCAGATCCAGTCGATAGGCCACTCTGCCTACCCTAGCAACTACTCGAAATGGTCTGACGAATTGGGGCCTGATGAGATTAAAACTCTATAGATCGAATATATTCAAAAAAGGTAAAAAAAATCAAAAACAGAATATAAATCATGAATGTGTTGAATGATTGTAATTCACGGCCTTAGAAGAACTCGATGAAGAATTGCTACTGTAGAGGCTGTGTAGGGTTTACAATGACACGATTAACTAATACACGATGCATGCATGCAACTTAAATAGTAAAACCCTAATTACTAAACACGGGTGGACAGGCCCAACCCAGATATAAAAAATACTAAGCAAAAGCCCAGAAGACGCAACACTAATATACCCAACAATCTCCCCCTTTGCGTCGATTGAGGCGAGAGTCCTTCACGTCTGGGTTCGCTTCCGCACATAAAAAACATTCGGAATGACGCTCAGAAAAACCTTGCGAACTTGGATATACCATAGAATCATATCCGACAAGCACTTTTTGTAACTTTTGTTGTTGCTCCTGTGCTTGTTGACAAATACCAAGATGTATTCAAGACACGAAGTGGTGAATAAATTTTTGTCGTTCAGGAAGAAACAAACTCTATGAAATTCTGCATCAGTTCGCTCCTTCAATTGAAAAGCTACACACCACCCATTCTTTTGTATCTTTTCAAGCTTCATCTGGTCAAAACCATCATGATTATCCTTGGGAAGTACACTTGGTTTCCTTTGCAACACGGCAAGAAATTTCAGCATCCATATGCCCAACCTCATAAATGTAAGAAATTATCATCTGCTTGAGGTGAGAAATGACGGGCTCATACTTCTGTCCATCACTCAGCAAAAAAGTTGTAAAGTACAATCCAATCATATGGGTTAAGGTATGGCAGATCAGTAAGGGTGAATTCGCAGACCTGACTGGACGAACCTCTAGCAACCTTAAACTTCACATTTGGGAAGTTGTCGGTTTTGATTGGACCAGTGACCTTCGCATCCGTAATCTTGCTCGCACTCCACGTCTCGTATTGTGGCTTCATATGCTTGAGGTAGAAGGAGAAGAGTAAGTGATCGACACTTCTGTCTGTCGCAGAGGCATTCACAACTTTCACGAAGCTACGAAACCGGAAGGCTTTTGGAATGATTGGAAGGTCCAACTGCGATTCTTGTGAATTCTGAAGATCGAATGACACAACTGGTTCCAACCAATACTGATTTGGCATATCAATAGATTCACTCAGGATTCGCTTCAAGGTCCACACTAGAAACAAGTGCTTTCGGCTTTCCAGAGTGGCATGAGCTTCACGTTCAACTTTTTCTTTTTCTTCAGCTTCGCGAACTATTCTATGATGTTCATCCATCTGAGCTTCACGTTCCGTTCTTCTTTTCAGCTCATTTTTATCAGGCTCTTCATCTTCGCTGTTGTCTATAATTAGTTCCTCACTGAAAGGCTTCTCTTTGCCTTTTGGTTTATTCCCGCTTTTTGGCTTATTAGTGGGCTTAACCGAATGTTCGGGGTTTTCTGTTTCGGATTGTTTCACTTCTTCTCCCCCTTGTTTCGGAATACAGCTAGATTCTGAAACACCTTCCAGGCGATTGAGCATGGAAAAAATAGACCTGAGTTTCTCTGAAAGTTGCTTCTTGACCGTTAATGTGATCATCGAGTCATGAGTCTATATGATTTCGGAGAGCAGTCCGTTCACATCGGTTATACAACTTTTCATAACGGCTCTTTCGGACAGCAATTCATTGACTCGTTTTTTCAGAATTCTCTAGTTTGACCGTCAAGACCTTCACCTTTGCAGTCTTTGCGGCAAGAGCTTCCATTATCTTGCTCTCAAGGGCAAAGTCGTCATGAAGCTTTGTGATCTTTGAGGAAATGGAGTAGTTGAACGCATCATGGTTATTTTGAAGACTAGTGTGAACCTCGTCAAGTTTCAACTTTTCTGTTTTAGGAGAGGAGCTCAGGTTAGAAATAACCTCATTAGCCTTCACCGTGTTGGTCTCAAAGGAGCTTTGAAATTTCTCCATAAACGAACGAGCATCTATAATTAGTTTATCGAATTTTTTGGTCGTTTCGTGGCACACAGAAGTAGATGTATCTACCGCCTAGTTCGTCTTTTTCAAGGTTGGCGGAGTGCTCTTTCGTTAGAGTCTCAAGGAAGGATTTGATTGTTGCTTGTGAATTATCTGCATTGGATGAAGCCTTGGATGATTAAAGCAACAAATCTATTTTGTCATTTATTGCCTCGAGTTGCCCTCTTGTGACGGGAGCTTTGTCATCACTTTCAGTCCTAACGTGAAATAGATTGTAGGTGAATCGTGCAAAGTCATCATCATCACCACCAAATATAGTGTCTGGATCATCCTGGCGGAAATGAGAGATGGGTGGAGTGGTATGACCAAATGTGAATCCTGAAGTATTTGCCCCTGCATCAAATGCGTTGATAGTTACTGGAGGATCAATAGTGAAGATAGTGGAAGTAACAGTGGAATCAGTGAACAATGGGGTTTGAACTTGTGAAACTCCAAATGAAACCGGTGGGCATGGGGCAATGGTAATTGGTGTGGTAGTGGTTTCAGGTGATTAAGGAGGAGTTTGGCAGAAATCGTTATAAGTTGGTGTAGATTCGGGTATACAAAAGTGTACCTCTGGGTTTGTGGTAATGGGCTGCGAAACCTCAGGTTGTGAAGTTGTCGCAGTATCTTCGTTTTCCTCTGGCTCGTTTTCTTGAATGCGAACGTCAGAGTGAGTAGCACCCTGCGAACTTTCGCTTTCACTAGGAGTTGGAGTTCGTGGATTGCGAGCTGCCATCTTAACCTTTTGCGTCTTTTTGGGAGTTTGATCTGGTGCAGATGAACCAACTTGAGCTTTTCGTTTCTTGGGTGTCTGAGTGGGTTCTGAAGTGCCTTCCTTCGTAGCTTTCTTCTTTCCTCCTTTCTTAGGCTTATCCGTCTCTTCCAATATCGTTCGTCTCTCATCAGTGAGAGGGCGAAATCCAGAGACTGGTTTGCTGCGATACTTTTCTAGGACTTTGCTAGCAGGCAAAATGTCACTAAACATTGCTTCAGGAATAGAGCCTATGACAGAGAACTTGGAGTTATCCGCCACGATGATGTTCTTGGTATGGAAGGTAGAGATAATAGCAGCAAATGAATCTGTCATGACCGGAATTTGATGCCTTTCGATGGCCCTCCTGACCACGATTTTCCAGGAGCGAGCACAAGAGATCTCGCTATGTCAAGTGGTAGAGTGGGTACTTTTGACGAATTGAGCCCAAAGCACAAAACCAAAATCGACTTTGACTCATGTGTAGATCTCGTACATGATCATCATAAACAACTTGCTAGCACAATCGGAACCTGTTACCTTCTCAGAGAAAGCCTTGAAGAGGAGAGTAAACAGCCCATTCCACATGGGAGGTAAGTTGGGCTTCTTGAACTTGGAGATAGCAGAGATAGTCTCCTTGTATCCCATTTGATAGAACATCTCCATCATTGCTGAGTTACAGACAGACTCATGGTCGATTTTATCGTCAGATTGCGGAACCCCTAACAGAGAGCTGAATCTAGACTTTGTGATGGAGGTAATGGTGTTGAGGACTTGAAACGTGACACGATGTTGGGTGCAAAGTTATCCATGTATGACTTTGTAAATGGGTTGACTTTTGTAGACCCACTTGCATGTGGTGCATTAGCCTTGTGACATGAGAGATAGAGAGTAAGAGAGAGACATGTAAACACCTCTATATAAGGTGGGTTCATACCACTTATGGAGGTGTTCTTGAGAGATGTAAAATTTAGTGTGTAAGTGTGTGTTATTTATGTAGGTATAGATCTAGATCCCTTTTTGTAACACCATACATAATCGAATGCATCTGTTAAACACCGAAATCACCGTGTTCATTGTGTGTTCTTTAATTCCGCATGCCAAACCAATGTTCATAATTCACTACATTTGGTATCAGAGCGGGTCTTCGAAGATCAACATGATTGTTTGAAGAAACGATTCTCGGTTTGGCTAAATTTGTCACAATTGAAGCATTTATGGTGATTCTCTCTCTATGATCTCTCTTAATCTTGTTCATTCGTGCGTTGCGTTCTTGAATTTTTGATCGTTTTGTCTCAATGGATCGAAATTCGTTTTAACCCCATTGGTTGATCCATTTATTGTTGCTTAGATCAAAAGTTAATATATAAAATCAAATTCCAATTTTTTTTGAAGTTACTGTTCAATGTTCATGAGCCAAAATTGATCCAAATTCCATTATCTGTTACTATTCACGTATTTTGAGCCCAAAATCAAAATTCGAATATTGTTCATAATTGTTTTTCAAGCCCAAAAATCATATAATTGATCTACTATGGCTACTCGATACATTAAGCCCTTAATTTCAAAAGTTTCCTATTCATGAATCCATATGTTTGAGCCCAAAAGTCATTGAATGTGTTTGATCCAAATTCGCTGATGCTGATTGTTCATCATCGTCTTTTACTTTACCCAGTTGTACCATCGGACATTCTTGTCTCGTACTTGAAGTTTTATTTTCAACTTCACGTTCATGTTAATCGATTTGAAGTACTTGCTAATCAGTTCTTGTGAATCGATTCAATATACTGTGTTAAATCACAGAAATCGATTATGATCAAGTCAAAATTGGAAAAATCAAAAAATTGAGTTGTTGATTTGGATGAACTTGACCAAGAACACTTGAAGGAGGTTTAGAACAAGTGTTTGAACACGTTTTGATCTGGAATTTGGTGATGGAATCTTCAATTTCGTGTTTATTAGTCTTTGATTTCGAAAAGTCAAACACAACAAAAAGTCAAACTCGAGTTTTAAGTGATGAATCAAAGAATTGGAGGTTGAAATCGTGGATTTAAGTTGAATACGAGATATGGATGTCGAAATGAAGTTTAATTTGGGATTTAATTTCGAAGTTGGATGGATTTTGTTCTTGATGACGAAAGCTACGATTTCGATGGGATCGTATGATTTAGTAACGAAATTGATTTTATGAATTGGGTTGAACTCAATGACTATGGCAGATAATGAAATCGAGTTTGTGTTCATCGAGATGTTGATTAAAAGTGAAGGTTGTGTGATAATCGAATTTGTGTTGGGTTACATAAAAGCCAAGCGTGATGTTTTGGGATGTTGAATGAAAAGCGAAAAAGAAATCTGTGATGTTTTGTATGTTTGAGAATTTGATTTTGGGGTCTCAAAATTTTCGTTTTTAATGGTCAATAATGGATGACGAACAGGAAGCAAAGATTGAAGAACTTATAGCAAAATTGTTGTTTGGGAACGCACCAACTAACGAACTCAAATGTTCCGTAGTTATAAAGGTGCTTTGGAAAAAGTTTCGTTAAAATGGTATTGTGTTGATATTCACGAACTGTGAAACAAATGAATTTGGGGAAGAAACACATAAATTTTCGACATTAGTCCTTATTGTTTTGAAAGTTTGTAACCTTTTACAAATTTCGACAAATTTCGATATTTGGGGCAATTTTTCGAGAGTTTGATGAAATAAGACAGAATTTTCGAAATTGGTCCCTGAAATTTCGACAGCTTGGCAGCATTAGTCCAGATTCGACATCAGGACATATTTTCGACATTATGGGATAAAAGGCAGAAATTTCGAGAGAAGTCCCTGAAGTTTCGAAAATTTGGCTGTTTATACCCAATTTCGAAATTGGACTAATTTTGCTGAGAAATTGAAGAAAATGCATTTTAGGCCCCTACAGTTAATGCGAATTGATGCTTTCTACCCAGTTTCGAAAAATGGGGAGATTTTCGCATTTTTGGCTGTTTTGGGTGCACCGGGTCACTGCAGAATTTTGAAATTGACAATTTCTACCCATTTTTGAGAAATTTTGTCAAAGGCGGTTCGTAAACGAAGTTAAAAAGTGAAGATTTTTTGAGTTTTCCGGATTCAACCACAAAGTTTATGCCACATGTTAACGGGGAGTTTTGACAAGAAAAATTACGAATAGAGCACGTTCTCTTTCCTTGTTGGTTTTATAATCAAATTTCGATTATAAAAAGGGGGAGAAATTTATGTGGAAATTCGAAGTTGAATTTTTCATATTACGCGGATTTGAAGACCGAAGTGATCTTGAGTTTTGGAAGTTTATGAAATGATTCGATTGGAGATTCAGAAGTGATTTCGTTTCAAGATGGGTTTGCAATTATTGAAGATTTTTGGGGTGTGTTTTTATGCTCAACTTTAGGGTGATTATTTGGAGTTTGAGTAGCTCTTGATCATTCGTTGATGCTCGGTTCGTATGGTCTCACATCCTAGAACCCAAATTGAAGAATCATGGAAGAATTGGCGATTTGAAGTTCATCTCAACATGTGTCACGCTTGAGGCTCGGATCGCGTAGTTGCTCGATTTTTGAAGATTTGAAGTGGGTCATCCATTCCTAACTTTGAGGGGGAGAATGTTGGGTGCAAAGTTATCCATGTATGACTTTGTAAATTGGTTGAATTTTGTAGAACCACTTGTATGTGGTGCATTAGCCTTGTGACATGAGAGATAGAGAGTGAGAGAGAGACATGTAAACACCTCTATATAAGGTGGGTTCATACCACTTATGGAGGTGTGCTTGAGAGATGTAAAATTGAGTGTGTAAGTGTGTGTTATATATGTAGATTTAGATCTAGATCCCTTTTTGTAACACCATACATAATCGAATGCATCTCTTAAACAATGAAATCACAGTGTTCATTGTGTGTTCTTTAATTCCGCATGCCAAACCAATGTTCATAATTCACTACACATGGTTTTCCTCTTTCTGGTAATTAGTAGTAGAATATGCCTTGGACAGATGAACCACAGGCACATTCTCCATCTGTTTCAAGGCAATGACCAGTGGTGAGTAGCAGAGACATTCCACGATAGGTTGAAGAAAAGCGTTGTACTTGGACGGGTCAAGATCGAGAATCAAGTTCTAATTGGCCTTGATCTGAAGTGGAGAAGATTCCGCTGATTGTTCTTGAACAGAAGGGGTTTCTGAGGAGCCTGTCATTTTTGATTTCTTGGTGGAGAAGATGAAGAGTAGAGAGAGATTTTTCCGAAGGATTTGAGATCTTTTAAAACAATAATGATCATGGAATCGTCACAATCCTTTTATAACGTGCAGTAGAAGAGAGAAATACGGTGTTTGGCGCTTCATTAGCCTGTAAAAGGGCCTAAAAAAGCATGACTGGCAACTATTGCGTCCTTTTGAATTTCACGCGCTTAATCAAATTTTAGCCCTTTCGTATTCAGTGTAGATACGAAACTTTCACAAGAACATTAGCAATTATCCTGCGAAACTGAGAGTATTCATAAGAACCACGAACCAGACTTGGGAAAATCACATGGATCTTCGTGCATGAGTGTGCCAAAGATAAAGAAATAAATCAATAAAATCTAAGGGATTATAGTGATGTCGTATAAGACAAGAAACAGTTGGATCCTGGGTATAGATCTCTTCCTTCGAAGTCAAGAGAGACTAAGAAGTGTCTGTTTGGATTCCCGTTGAAATACGATCAACTGCTTGATAAGAAACAGTGAAAGACATCTTTTCGTTAGACTTAAAGGGTGGCTAAGGCTCCAACCAAACTCCAAAACATGATATAAGTCCGAACGTTCGGATGAAGTACTTGTTTTACCGGAGTAGTCATTTGAACAAGTTTTCTTTGGAATTAATTTAAGTAACGTGGATAAAGATAGAAATCTTTAAAAAAATAATAAAAATAAAATAATAAAAATAAAACCGGATCTATTGGGAAGAAATATCTTAGGACTAGAACATTTCATTAAGATCTCGCAAGAGAAAAATAGATTTCTTGGTACAGACCACGAAAGTGGACGTTCGTTAATTCCTTGGTGAAAAATATAGAACGTTTAATTGTTCACCGTCAATTCATAAAAGTGTGTTGGATTGGGGGTTTCACTCAGTTCATAGTAGTGACGAAACTAAGATCATAAACACAGATGTTGTGTAACCATAAACCTCAATAGTAATATCTGAGAGTCTAAAGGGTTATGATCATGTATGCGAAAGTGATG